GTACATCCGCTGCCTTGCCATACACCTACTAACCACGTACTCGATCTGAGCGAGGCTTAAAGTTCCTTCGTACTCGTGCCGGAGCTTAGCTTAAGTCTTGTATTTAAACGCTACGTACTTCGTTCGATCTCCATTAAATGGTTCTGGGTGCGGGAACTTGTTCCTGCGCGCAGCTGGCTCGGCGATTGCGGCTGCTGCTAGGGGAGGCGTGAAGGCTCTATGGGACGACTCTGAACGCCCCTCAGCTTGGTCACGCTCGAGTGCCACGAGCCGTTCCGTTAGCACCTGGTTCTGGGCTGTTAACCGATTCATCAGCTCCATCATCTGGGCCATGGCATCCTGGTTGGCCTTCGGCGAGCCTCCTTGCCTTAGTGAGCCCTTTCCTCCCACGACGGCCGATCGTTTAGCGACCGCTTCAATCGTTGGCCTGATTGCTGCCTCCTTCCATCCGTCCTCTCTAAGCATTTGTGTAATTTCGCGCAGGATCTCTTCATCTGATACTCCTGCCTGGTTCTTGGCAGCAGCGTACGCCGCCAGCTCTTCCACATTCAAGTTTGGAACGTTAATCTCCATTGCCTAATTCGTTTTGGACGTCTCGTTCTTTGCCTGCTAATATGCAGGGCTTCCAGTCGCTCTTCGATCCGCTCGCGCAGTCCTTAACTGCGGCCTACTCCTCGTTGGTGAGGACTAGTAGGGCTTACCTTTGGCCGTACTTCTCTTCTAGCCGGTTCTAAACAGCGTTTGGCTGCTGTCATGTCGCGTCCCTAGGAAGACTCGTGTCTTGCCGTCTCGCTCGTGGGATCTCGTCTCCGATTGAGAGTAATCGCACGACCTGCACCCCGTCCGATAGAGGATTGACAGGACTTCTCACTACAACGTCCACTTCTAGCTAACTGTACGCTAGGCCCGAGTGGCCTTCAGGTAGTTTATCACGCGACGTTGCGCCTACGGCTCGGCTTTCCAAAACACGGTAGGACTTCCTAGACAGGTCCCGGGCGACTAAATCGCCTACTGTCTCTCACGGCTGAACTTCCTGCGAAGCTCTGCCCTAGGTGTACTGTCTTGCGACGGTCTACCTTCTCGCTGCACTAAAGGCCTTTTGTACCTATTGCAGCACTAACTCCATGTTACTAGCTCGCACTAACAACACGCTCTAAAACTTAGTTAGAAGACAGTCCGCCTAAGGCTTATGTCTAATTAGGATCAAATACAAAATGTAAGAGGCTGCGCTCTAGGGAGCAATCGCAAGGTATACAAGAGGTTGTATTTAATAAGGAGCTATCTACTCTGCTTACGTGGTATTTATTTACTTATCAGAGAAAGGTTATGCTGGAGTATCTGAGCGCGTTGTCTGAGCGCTGCTCGGTCTGAACGTAGTTCAGATGGTGCGCGCGCAGCTTGGCCCGAGATTCCATCGAGGAGCTATCCAAAGGGCGTTCAGCCCGTTACATTTTGCGCACTAATAAGAGGCCTAAGAAGCTTATCTTAAGTGCAATTCAAAGCAATAACTACTCAGTTTATTTTTAGCTATAATAATATGTAATCAATACGCCTAGTAATGTTACGTGTACATAAATTAATTCAAATTCTCTAACATACTTATACTATATAACAACGTAATTATATCTGCGATTTATAAGTTTTACTCATGTGATAAGGCTTCTAAGTTAATAGCTAGAAAATATATATTATAAAGGTAGTAATATTCTATGTATTAGAAAGAAGCTTATATAAGTTAGTTTCCACTACTACTTTGTTATTATTATAACTTACTACTAGTAACGTGGTTCATAAGCGAGTCAGTCACCCAAGCGAGTCGGTCACTCCCCACCAGCGCGTCGACGTTGATACTACAACGCGTTATGTCTTAACAACACAACTATTAATTAACTTATCCTAAATTAGATCTTTAACTTGCTCTTTTTAATATCTAATTACAACGTGTTTAAAGCTAAAGACGCGCTACCTCTATCTATAACGTGCCTTAAAGTACAATATCTAATCAACAGGCTAGAAAGCGCCCCCAACGCGACTGTGAACCGAATTTGAAGCGTCTAAATAAGTTAGAAGAGGAGGCTATTATTAGACGTATTTTTGAAGAGTCTGCGCGTGGATTTGCCCCTACAAAGGCTAAGGTTTAAGCAATAGCCAATAAACTGTTAGAGGAGCGTGGTGGCAACCCTATTAGCAAGAATTGGGTTGACAACTTTGTTAGGCGGACTGCTAAGCTCCGTACGCGCTAGAGCCGTCCCTATGATCACCAGCGAGCCGCCTGCGAGGACCCAGTGGCTATCCAGCGCTGGTTTGACTTAGTCCAGGCGACAAGGCAGAAGTGGGGTATTGTGGACGACGATATCTACAACTTTAACGAAACTAGCTTTATAATAGGCAACATTTTATTATAGTTATTAATCACAGCATTAGAAGGATATAGAAAAAAGAAGCAGATACAGCTACAGTGCCCGTGCACCAGATGAGCACCATCGCCAGTTGAGCACCCCCACCACCACAACAACAAAACTTCAACGCGTCAAAACTCAACCAATATGGACCCGATTCAAGAAGCGATTGCAGAAATCGAATCGCGAGAACTAGGAGATAAATTCTCGTATCAAGCAATCGCGAAAAAGCATGGTGTAGCACGAATGACGTTGATGAGACGACACCGCGGCGAAACTGAGGCCTATGGCGTGCGCAACCTCTCCCTCCATCCACAACACGAGAAGGAGCTTGTACGATACATCGATACGCTTACCGAACGACGTTTGC